GTGCTCTCAGACTTTTTGTGGAGATCCTCAACAGCTGCATGGACTGTGATGAGATCCAGTTTAAAGAGGATGGCAGCTGGGCCCCCATGAGGTCTAAGAAGGAAGTGCAGGAAGTCTCTTCAGCCTCTTATAACAATGGCCTGGATGGTGAGTGTGTGTTTGTGTTTGTGTGTACATGGTTCTTGAACCCACTGTTTCTAATGGGGACAAAAGCCCAGTCCATATTGGGGCGGACATACTGTTGGTGCGTCCTGGGTTCGGTTTAGGACTAAGGTGTGAGTTGAGTTTAGGTTAGGTTTAGGGTAAAGAGGCAGAGTTAGGCTGTAAAAATTACCTGTAAATGAATGGAAGTCAATGCAAAGTCCCCATGAGGATAGAAGAGCAAACATGTGTGTGTGTTCTAGCAATTTGTTACCTTGTAAGGCCCATTTTTCCAAAATATACTCCCTTAAAAGCCACTGCTTCTTAAACCAGTTTTGGGTTTGGGGTTAGGTTTAGGACTGTGATGTGAGTTGAGGAGGGGTTAGGGGCAGGGAGACAGATTGTACATCACATTTTGGTTAGAAGGCTGGAAGCAACACAATTAGGAAAGAAAATGTGCGTTTTATCTCCTGTTTTTGTCTTCTTGCGAATCGTCAGTTTTAATTTGGTAAAACATAAATCAAACTTCTCAGTTTRATGTCAGTTTCTAACACAAACTTAGAGAAGAAAAGATGTTTCTGCACCCTAAAACGCCCTGACAGGACGCTGCAGTACTTTGTTGTTGTTGTTTTGCACTTGGCCAAAACAAACGGAGACATCCGTGCTGCTCTGCAGGTTCCTGTCGGACATCTGAAGACTCAGCTCAGAGGAGCTCCTCCTCCGGCCACGGCGACAGCAGCAACGGCAAGAAAGTGGAAGTGATCGACTTGACGCTGGACAGCTCCTCGGAGGACGAAGGACCGGAGTCGCCAGCTCCTCCGCAGCCTCCACCTCTCCCGCCTCCTATCAAAAGAGCGTGTCCGTCTTTGTCCCCGAACTCGCCTCCCATCGTCAACAAAGGGTGAGAAACCACCAGAGTCTGTAAATTTATCTTCTCACGTAGTTTACAGCTTGTTTAAAGTGAAGCTCAGACTCAGTTTAGGTGAGTATTAACAGTTCATCACTTTCACACTTGAACCCACAAAGTGACATTTATATCAGTTTATCAGTAAACTGACAGAGAAATGTTGGTGTTGGATGAGATGCTGCATCCTGCTGCACGTTAGTGTGGACACATGGTTTAAGTTCAGAGCTTAAAAATTAAACGAAATGTTTGGCAAACCTTTTGGGATTATAAATATGGCTGGGCATTTTTCAACTTTTGAATGTTTCGTATGCAAAATTTCACATGATGAGTTTCATGGAGGAGGGTGAGTGATTGTTGCCTCATCACACGTGTTCCATAAGAAATGAATGGTGATGCCGACTCCCATGTGTCGAGCCCGTGGGTGTTGGTATAACACATATTTTATTGTTTTACTAACACACGAGTGTCAGCTAAGGCTCAAGCCCAAGTCAGAACCCTGAGCGGCGTTTAATCATGCTGGTTGTGCACCTTCCTTTGCACAATCTTATTCTTTTATTAAAGTTAAGACACACTGTAGATCACTGCAGCACACTGTCCATTCATTTATGCACACAATACTTGTGGATTCTTCCTCATTGGTGTTGGGGTGGCTCCCTTGCAGGTTTTTTTCGGCAGCTACTTCTTCCCGGCAGTGGACTGGGTATCAAAACTTGGAATTGAAATTGAAAAAACTCTTCCAGGAGAATCGACATGTTGGTTCTGGTTCCAGTCAATACTCGAGACTTGATGCCCAATCCTAATTAAATCATAAAAGTTTTTTTTCTTTTAGTTTACAAACCAGCTTGAATGAAGAGGGTGGATAACTCTCTGAAGCTTCAACCGTTTAGTTAAAATTTATTATGACTAAAAGCTTCTGCTGCTTTATCTGACTTTAATGAGTCGCGTGTTTCTGTTCTGAGCTTTGTGTTTGGGCTCAGCAGTGGATGTAGAATTCAGTGTGACTTTTACATTTAGTGAAAGCCTACAGTAATTCTGTTATTTATTGCCTCCTCGTCTCCACTGCCCTGTCTGTGTACCCATCAGCAGTGTATTGAACCTGCACCACCAGGCCTCACCTGTGAGCCGCACCCCCAGCATGCCAGCTATGGATTCCAGCTACATCCCTCCAGTCCCCCCACTCATCCAGGACTATAGACCCTACTACCACACCCCCAATGACCTATCAGGTAATAACACAGCTTGTATGTTAATGGCAATCCTCAATAGAGTTTTATCGTGGATAAAAAAGTTGAATCGAATGCAATAATTTTACAATCCAAAGTAAATTAAAGGAAACTGCACAGCACCCAGAAATATTTATAAATATCACAGTAAAAACCTGGGAAAGCTGAAACTGTAGTAGTTTTAACATTCAAAATGTATTCTGAAATGTTGCCTTTTGTTTTGTTCTCACTGCTTTTTTTATTCTATTTTTAAAGTGAAATCTTCTGTTTATTATTGCCATGTCACCATGACTTCAACTGTTTTATTTACAGCTAAATCTGCCTCTGCTTCATTTCCAGAGTTGAATTTCTTCTCTTTTCTTCAAGGAGACAATCATCAGGTACGTTCACTGCTGCGCAGCGTGGTATGCTGATAAAATCTGCCCCTAAAGGCAAACATTTCCTCTCTAGTAACAACAAAAACAAACATTTCCTCAGCAGTAAGTAGAGAAATAATTTTAAAAATATGTCTTCCTGCTGAAGTAACTAATTAAAAAAAATATTTTAAAACCTGACGGTAGGTGGAATTTTCCATAAAATCCTTGGAGTACACAGTGTTCCCTTATTTTTTTATTTATTTTACTGCTTGTGGGTTTTAGTTTCCTTGAGCTATTTAAGGAGTCGTGAGAGCAAAACGTTTGACAAATGAAAGTTGTCCAGTAAAAGAAACATTTTTTCATTTAGCCTGAGTGATAATATTTAGCTGCTGTGGCTATAAGATGTCTGCRTCAGAGATTTATGCGGCCAATCCCATGCCGTGACAGGGCTCTAGACTAACTTTTTGCACTGGTTGCACTGGTGCGCCTAAGAAAAAATGTTAGGCGCACCAGCACAAAAGTTAAGTGCACCCAAATTTTCAACCACATCGCCTAACATCAGAGTTTTACAGGATATTTTTTTAATCACTCTTCATTAAGGCAACATTAACTCGAAAATAATTAATTAACAATTTAGTAAACATGAAGTTCTTTATTTAAACCAGAATTGTAGACATTTAATTTACTGAAAAGTATTTAAAGTGATAAAATTCTAAATGCAAATGCTTAAGGGCTGAATGTCTTATAGACATATTAAACATTTCATGGTTAATTTTTTTAGACATCTGCCCCTCAGATGGACAACTATGGATCTTTGGCCTTCGATAAACCAGAATGATGAACAGAGAATAAWGATTAATAACAGAAATATTACTGATATTTATTAAAAGGTTGTGCACATTTTTTTAAATAATAACATAAAAGTCTGCAATTTCATCATTAGTTGAATCTTATTATCTTATATTATTTCACTTAAATATCTAATATGTCTAGTTTTATCCTCCTGAGACCCAGAAGAACCTATTTCAGATACTTGGGGTGTAACTGTGGTAAAGTCAATTAAGTGCAAAACCGGCCTGCCATACACGGGAGCTTCCTCGTCCTGCTCAAATGATCTGCAACGCTCAGACCCTGACTGTTAAATTAACAAGATGGACGAGCGAGCAACCGTCCACATCTTGTTTTCATCTMCAGCTAACGAGAAAGAACTGTTTTAGACTCCGATCTGGTTTTAAAAAAAAACTTCGGTTGTTTCGCTACACGTGCGCGCACACGCGCGCGTGTGTGTGTACAGATTTTTCTTCATGCTGGATACAGTTATTGACCATTTCCCCGGTACACACAGCCTGGTGAGGTTAGGGTTTGGGTCAGGTGTGTAGCCTACCTGGGAGGTTATGGTTGGCTAAATTTTTGCAAATGTTTAAAATTTCAAAAGTTATTCATCAAATGTGTTTACGTCTCTCATTTTGCCGATTAATTTTTTTTTTTCAAAATACCTAAATACCACCTCCATCAACTGCCCAAAACACACCCATTGGAACCGGACTAGAACATCAGTGGAAAACCAACCRGTCCGAACTGTACCGACCCGTACCTACACCGACCGTTCCGACACTACACCATGGAAAAGGGGCATAAGTGGCACTAGTGTCCATAGATAAGCAGGTAGCTATGAATGTATTTGGGGGCATGGTAACTATAAAAAGCTCAATAACTGTCCTCTGTGTAGACTGATGGACATAAAATAGTGTGGAAATGACCGACCCTTTGAGAGGTCATGGCTGATGTTTTCTCCTTGGCATTGTGCCAACACACACCTGCGTGCTCAGAGGAGCAAACTGACAAAACGCCTGGTTTTACAGCTGTGCTCACACTAATAAAGATCATTAATCAAGTTCATCTGATTTAGCAGCACTTGGTTTCTTTAGCTTTAAACTCCTGTGAGAGCAGCGGGATTTGGTTTTTCATACAGAGTTTTGTCATTTTGGCCTCTTTATTCAGCCAATCAGGAGCCAGCCCATTAATCTCTCTCCTCTCTCATCCTGCAGCATTACAACATGGTCATGGCAGCAGCAGCTGCCGCCTCCAGCTCGGACGACCACGAGCTGCTCCTCAACCGCTTCATGCCCTACAGCACCTCCTCGTCTGCCTCCCAGCTGTTCCTCGACCAATCGGGAGCCGCCTCAGCCACGTCGCTGACCGTGCCGACCAACGGGGTGAGCAACTCAGCCAGCGGCCTGGTGTCGGCCAGCGGCCTCCGAGACGCTCATTCCGTCCACTTGTCCTCGCACGCCGGCTCGCACTCCTCACACACGCATCCCGGCATGGTGGCCAGCAGGAGCAGCGCCGAGGCGGCGGTGGCGGCCATCTACGGCGGGATCCCTGACGTCATATCGCTGGACTGACCCGAGGCGAGTCGGAGCGCCCTCGGCTCGACTTAAACGCAGTAACAAACCCAATCACACGCAGACCGCAGGGCGAGGCTTTGATCCAGAAACTAGACTGGCCCCTGAGCCTGCCTGGAGATGAGCACTAATTAAACCACGGGCTGACTTCAMTTTGAAGGGGACAGCTGTGGACGTTGTGTTGTCCTCAGACCAGACGACTTGTCCCGCCTGTGAAGCCCACGCCAACTTCTTTCCTCTCACCAACTCTGCACAAACAGCGAGGATGCTACCTGAGCTCAAACACAAGGTTGGAAGGTTCTTTTTCTAAACAAAACCCAGGAGTGGCACCATGTACAGAGAACAAAATCTATTTTCCTCTTTTACTTTTGTATGTTTGAARCATTTTCAGTCTGGTGAGCTGCTTCAGAGTCGTTTCTATACAGAGGACTGAGTAGGGTCTTTTTTCTTTCCTCTCACTAAACGCCTGTCGCCATGTTGTCCTCTCCTCTGAGCTCCAGTCCAGTTTCATCTCTCTGGCATTAATTTCCATTCTCTTTCCTTGTTCTCTCCTGCTGAAGCTCATGCTCAGAATTGTATTTGTTCAATGACACGGACTTCTCAGTTGCTGAATTTGCAGTTTAATCTGTGCTGGTAATTTTATTCTGCTTCTAAGTTATGTATTCTATTTAAACAGGTATATATGCATTCCCTTTGACCTTCAGGTTGATACTGTGGTCAGTGTGCAGGCAGAAAAACTACCTTTTTTTTCTGCCATTCTCACTCCTTGTAAAAACTCTGCCGTCATACAGCTTTTATGAAATGAAACTATTTATATTTGCCAATTTAGAGTTTTAGCTGGAGGTGTTTTTGTTTTTTGTTTTTTTGTTTATTTTTTTTTGCACAAAGCCAAAAAAACAGGTACTTATGAAAGAGATCATAAGAATCAGACTGCAGTTGCATCCAGTGCTTTCAGTCAAGTGTCCATTTCTTCAGGTTCAGTCTGTTCCTGTGCGTCTCGTCTTCTCAGTCGACTGTTAAAAACACATTTCYAGCGAAGCCGTTTGTGGCGACATCGGGTGTTTTTATTTTATTTCATTTACAGACACAGGCATCCGCAGTGTGTGAGCGTGTTTAAACTAGTGGCTGTCAGAGTGCGTGCTTTTTGAGAAGCTTCAAGTTAACGTCTGTACTCCTCGCTTGACCTCTGCCTCTGTGTTTGGACC